TTGAGCATATTTCATATTATTGAGCATGTTTGAGCATATATCTTTTGTACAGAGCCCTGCTGCTGACATCCAGTATAAATAAAATTATTAATGGCCACACCATATTAATGCGTGGCCACGACTTAGTAAGGCATGGGAACGAGATCATGCCTTATTAAGCTGTGGTCAAGGCTTAATTATCTAATTCCCATGCCTTACTAAGTCGTGGCCACGCATTAGGATCTCTTTCCCACGCCTTACTGAGTTGTGGCCACAACTTAATTATCTCATTCCCTCACCTTAGTAAGTCGTGGTCACGCAGTATTTTTATTTATACAGAATGTCAACAGCAGGGCTCCGTACCTTTTGATCAAAATGATTGATCAAAAACAGCAGAAAAGCATGATGTGTTTTAGTTAGCAAAGCATTAGAATGACTAAAGAGATGACTTCAGTCATCGAAATTCGCCCAAACTAAATGCAGACCCATGTGATTTTTCCATCTACTTATTCAGGTGGTATTTTATTATTTATTATTTATTGTTAAAACTTTGTCAGTAACAGATCAGAGTTTGCCTGATAGAATTCCTGTTGTTACATAACTGCAGCTAAACCTTGCTGGGTATACAGTTACAATATAATTTCAGCTTAACTGTGCATTGTGTTGACTGGACCAGGTAGTTTTAGTAGATTTATTCCTAACTGTTCTAGGGTTGCCTCTGCATTTCAGTGCTTTGTCATTTATTTCTAAGTTAAAACCGGCCACAGATCAGTGTCAGCTTTGACAGGAATCCAGAGCACCACAGCAGGCACTTTGACCCATCAGGGAAGTCATGGTGCATAAGAGCTTAGTCATGAATTTGTCAGGCCTCAACAAGAGTGGTGTGATGAAATGAAACTCATCAGCAGCCTTCAGCAGTTGTGGGAATAGGCAGTGAAAAAGATTAAAAAGATAAAAATAATCTCTATTGTCCAAAATCATTCAGATACAGCACTTCAGATCCAAACAATGAACATTGTAAGAACAGGAGCATCATTGTTTTTACTGCTCTGAAATACTAAAGAGAAAAAAAAAAGATTTTCAGTAGATTTGTAACTGTTCACATATTGTTTTAAGTGCATTACCAGCATCTAAACTGTTTGAAGTGATCAGTGTATCTGATTTTTTTATGCTGGGCCTCCTTAAATTTGTATTGATCTATACTCGTTCATGCTCTGAATGTTTGGCCGTTTACTCACATCCAGACACGCAGCAGATAATCTTTCATAGATAGTCATAAGATTAGGAATTTATTCCTGCATTAATCCTTTACTACTTGAATTATAAAACACCAAAAAGGTTTATTATTTTTCTTCTGTATTTAACAGAAATACATTGGATTTTTTTTCTGGGGGTAGTGCTTTTATTTTATTGTAAGAATGGGCCTGATAAAGTATGCCATGTTAGGTAGAAAGCCTTCAGTTTCTCACAGGAAAAGAAATATTTATATCGTAGTCAGATAAAAAAAATATATATTGTTGCCATACGGCAAGGCCATGCAATAAAGCAGTGGTCACTAATCCTCCTCCTGGAGATCTATCTTCCTGCAGGTTTCACCTTCAACCTAAATTTAACACATCTCATTCAGCTAAACTAGGACCTCTAAAGACAATCATTAGATTGATCAGGTGTGGTAAATTAGGGTTGAAGCTAAAGTATGCAGGAAGGTAGATCTCCAGGAGCAGGGTTAGTGACCACTGCAATAAACGGTTAATGGTAGAACAAATTAATTGAATATAATAGTATTATTATTATTTTCTCTATAATTATTGTCTTTGCAGCCATAAGTGCAAGAAGACAGTTGTTTTCTGAGAGAAAAATATATTTAGATGTGTGTCTTTTCCAGACAGGCAGTGGTGGCATGTTGTTTTCTTTTTTTTTTTTCATCAGAACTTCTTGCTTCATTGAACTGGAATCAGCGCTCTTGTTCTGGGGAAAGAGAAGCATCTTTCAAATACAAAGCCATTTTCTTCTAGGGAATCAAATATCAGCAGACAAGCTGGGACACACTGCATCCAGAAGTGCTTTGCGGGATTGGACATGGCTAGAAATGAGAGTACTGGCTCATTGCCTTGAGGTCAAGGCTGTTCACCAACTGTCAACTGCAAATGTCACTTTTTCCCCTCTCAGTTCACTATCGTTCATGGGACAGTTAAAAAGAGGTGTGGCTGTTTAGAGGCTGCAGAGGGAACTTGCTTGTGCTTGGAGCTGGAGAACCGCTTCTGCTTCTACCTGTTAGACAGGTAACGGCTGCAGCGCGGCGAACGTGAGAGTGGTATGTGTGTGTGTGTGTGTTTGTGAGCGCACACTAACGCACATGTGGGTAGCACAGGCACTTCACCTGCTTTCCAATCACTTTACCTGTCAGTCGAAAGCTCTCTCTCACAGTAAGACTTAAGAGGAGATGTGTTTGTTCTGCTCATCTTACCTCGGGACAGTTGAACATCCTTACAAACAAATAAATGGTCTATTAGATATGTAGAAACAACATTTTAAATGCAACTGTTTCATTTCATGCAAATCTTTCATTTCCACTGAACAGGTTAGGCTGCTTGCACTCTCAGTTTGATGACTACTCAGTGGTTATTTTGGTGGGAAAAAATGCAGCCATTGTGGATTAAGCCCACTGAACCATGATGAATCACATGACGTCATGATTTTTCACAGCATGAGAACCAGCCCGGCTTGTTTATTGTCTTTAACTTCAGACACTATCCAGGTGTGTGATGTCTGTGGGTGTGTATGGTGTCTCTGGTGTTTAGAGAAGGACCTACTGATGCAGTAATCAGAGCAGGGCTGACAGATTTGTGTCAGAGTATGTTAAGCAATATACAGTCATTTGCAAAAGTTTGAGGGCTCCTGGTCAAGTGACACGTTTTGTTAATTTTCTAATTGAAAGTAAGGTAACACATCCTCTACAGAGAGCAAACCTCTGCACAATTACAGTGTGTTTGCTGAATTTTACGTATTGTTGCCTGTGCAAGAGTTATGGCACATTATATATTTAATTTTTTTTTTTCCAATTGTTGAGCAAATAAATAGAAAAGGTGACCAAAATTTGCAGAAAAATGTCATGTTTAAGTTTGTTCCCCATAGAGAACGTGTTCATTTATTTTCACAACAAAACCAGGGGGCTCAAACTTATGCCTAGGACTATAAGAAAATCTACTGCTGATTCTCAGTGACTTGTCTTCACTCTGTCTTTTAAGGGAAACCTCAACATTTATTAGCAATATATGTGAAAGGAAATTACAGGCTACATCTGGCTCTGCATCAACATAGTTTGAACATGGTATTTACAGTGATGCAGTGAAATTTCCAGATCACACTTGTGACCCTATAGTCCCAGACCAAGTACCTAAATGTTTCTGGAGATCTTGAAGTACTATCCTGTTTCAACCTGCAATCTAACGGAGCAATTCTCAACTCTGGGTACTTGTAGGTCAGTGAGTGTGGAGAGAATGTCAGGAGAGTACAAGTACAAATATTATACAGAATCTAATTTAAAATTAAAATCGAATTAATCTAATTTTAAAATAAAAACTACTACCTGATTTAAAAAAATCTTCTGGTTAAGAACAAAATTGCAAACAAAGTAAGCTATTGATTTCAAGTGTATCACTGCCACAGTAATGCCTCTAACTACTGGATCTGTTTAACCTATCTAATACCATCAGTCACAGCCATGACTGAAATATTGTTTTGTGTTTGTACAGCTCTAAAATAGTTGTTAACAGTTTTTCTACTGAATGGTAAACTATAAATTGTATTAAAGGTTGTCTTAGGTGGGTGGTGTAAATGGCCACATGACCAGAGCAATATACTTTGAGCATATGCCTGAAAAAGATGATGTCTGAACTCTTCAAAACAAAGTCAGGAAATAAGCAAAATGTTACACTTTTTGATATTTTAGTAAGATTGTACCAACACATTTATACCCCGCAGCCCAGGAGGATAAGTGGCTTAGAAAATGTGTGCGTGTGACACATTTATATTATTCTTACAGGATATGTAAACATGTAAACAATCACTTCACATGTCCTAACTATCAGTTTTTTTTTCTATTTAGAAATTTATCTTTTTGACACAATAGAACATGCCCCAGTAGGACTACATGCAACATTTCCATCTTTGTAGCAGTATGCTGCTTCAGCTTTTTTCCTGATAAAATTGTTGACTCTTTCAATTCAATTTTTTTTCTCATAGTATCAGTATTCATCTAAATCTTTAATAATATTTAGTTTATACAGATTAAATGCACACATTGTTGGATGGGGTACTTGAGCCATGATTAAAGGGCTGTGAAAGTGCATAAGACAAAAAAAGTAGACGCTGATACTATAAAGGCCTTGATTGGGTAAATGGGGACTCTGAAAGACGCTGGAAGTTAACTGTGCATGGCTTTGACTCTCCAAGAGCAGGGTGGGGCCCCCTGGCTTCAGCACTCATGTGAATCACTTTGAACACTGGAAGCTTGGTAGAAAAGCAGACATGCTATCTGTTGGGGGGATATAGTCCTGCTAAAGAGAATTAAGTTGGCTTAAATTGGGAAATATAGTCACATAGAGTCAGTATTGCGTTCATGTGGATTATGCAGATTTGCTGATCTTAAGAATGTCTGATTTGAAGTTGCGGTGAGCATATCTGTCACCATGATGGAACCGTTTCAGAACATTATGCGAGTGTGATTTTCAAGATGAAATCTGAGTCACTGATTTAAGAGATTTATTATCTATTCAGTGATAGTTCTGTTGAATTATCTGTGGATTAGGAATTACACTCAACTCTATGCAATTTCATAATGCGCCTTCTGAAAGCTTAAGATCTTTATGGAGTAACCATTGTGTCATTTGAACTCAACTTTTATACTCGTTGTGCAGATATTGTGACATCTTGTGGTCAACACTGGCATTACTTGAAAGGCACAAAACCTGATTGTTGCACTGTTGTACACTTATATTACAAATACAGGACACAGAAAAGCCATTTTCCAGATTTAATCTTTGCTTTATAGGATAACCAAAACAGATTTCTATACCTCAAATTGACATAGTCACAAAATACAGGTTACCATACAAAATCTACAAAAATGCAACAATTACAAACTTTTTGTTCGACAAATAACAATTGTACAGTATAAATTTATACAATACTGTTTCTGTATATTTGGCACCTGACCACATGATATAATTATGTGATACAGAAATGTTATGTCCAATGCCTAAAAAGAAGGAAAAAATAAAAAATAACATATGCATAAAACATGGAATTATCATTGCAGTAGTTGTGATCTTATTTAAACATTTTTTTTCAACTTTACAAACAGCAGTTTATTAGAAAGAAAAAAAAACAAACATTCAGATTTGTCCAATTAACAGTATCGCAGTACTGAATTCACTGCATTGAGGCATTCAACAATTTGCAGTGGCATTCAAAACGTACAACAGCAGCAGCAACAGAAGGATTCTGGAGCTCCATGTGCTTAGCATGCTTACTGAAAGCAGAGCAGGAGGTGATGGAGGATGGAGTGAACTGGTGGATAAATGAGCATTACTACTGGCAAGTTCCATTCTTCCTACCTGAGTACAGCAAGTGGACTTAGCCAGCTGTTGATCAATGGCATCAAGTGCACTTGGAGTGTTCAAGTATAGAGAATGGAATAAAGGGTTTTGGAGGGACAATCAAGGCCCCATCATAGTTGGGGGTTGACAGCAAGCTCTAATGTTAAAACTGCCCTTGCTTTTCCTGTTCTTTTTTTAAACCCATTTTTTTCCGTTTAGCTAAGTTACCATCTTATGCTTATTTACTTAATGGTAAACTACTGTGGTCAATGTCAGAAAGATGAGATCAGATCCCACATGCAGAGACATCGAAGATAACATCATATACATGTTGGATATGTAAATAAATGTTGCTGACATCTCTGAACCAGGTGGAAATATGTATATAAACATCTATTCAATCCTAGCGCGGACGAGTTTTGCAAAAACTTAACACAAAGATCATCGTCAGATGGCAGAGCGAGCCTTACTCGTTCTCTCTAAGTGATAAGATGATCTTAACACTATAATGCTTTCAGGAAACTTGGCTTTGATGAGTTGTTCTAGATGCTCTTCCAAGATCAACAGGCTACAGGGCTAATTCTACATTACGCTTCAGCACTGCAGGCAGCTATTTCTGCAAATATAGCACTATTAAAATAATAAAAATAAAAGAAGAAGCAATATGCGGATGTAAAAAACAGTCATCCATAGAAACACTTAATTCTGCGTGTGTGCATGTTTGTGTGTGGCAGATCAGTAACTTGAATAATGTCCACATTTTGAATATTTCACCTCTTCCATCATAAATATTGCAGTTTTGGCATTCACATGCCTTCTGCGACAATGTAATAGACCACTGACAGCAGTGTGAGCAAACAGTACCAGGGCACCAGAGCCACACACATACACACACAAACATGCATGCATACATATAACACAAATAGTTTCTCTTCCATACACAGTTCAAATTTATTTAACATGCTCCACTAAAGCCACCAAAAATGAGCAGATGTTGCATCTTAAAATAGCATTTTGATAACAGTTTTGCATGCGTGTCTGGTGTTTCATGATTTGAAAAAGAAAAAAGGAGAAAAAAAAACCTATACAGGCCTACGCAAACCACAGGAAAATCCCACAATTCTTCATTTCACTTCCTTCAGACAACACAACTTCTGAGAGAAAATTTTGTTTCCAACACGCGATAATATGGCTTTTTAGGATCAGTCTAAAATGTGTAGTGTCGTACATAATGTACGATTCAGGTGCTGACTAACAGGTTTCAGGATTAGTAACACTGATATGCTAATAGTTAAAAGGGCAAGTAAGCTCCCTGGAATAAAAATTAGTCGATGCATCATTTCTTCTCTAATACTTGGTTAAGCATTCAATTGCCTTGAATGACAGAAGAAATTTGGTCAGGTAAAAATTACATCAGTCTCTTGAAATAGTTCCTGTCTATTTTATTCTTTCACTAACTTCATGCTTCATGTCCAAGGAGAACACAACACTGACATTGCTGCATTCCAGGAGGACACCTGTAGGGTGTCTTTATGTGACTGGTTCAACAGACATGATGGACAGTTTAAGACAATCTGATTGACCAGCAAAATCACCAGTTCTCCATTTGGAGCAGCAGCTGAAATGCTGAAATAGGCACACAAAATGGACAGGAGTTATCTTAATATACTGGTACAATCCTCACCTGACAGCTTACTTGAACAGTCATTACTGGGAATTTCAGGAACTAAAAACCAAAACCAAATTACTAAGGGTCTGTTAAGAAACCAAAGCCATGGTCCATTTCTCCATGGTCCAAGTCTATCATCTCAAGCCAGTCAACAGTAAGTTAAGTTGGGCACCCCCTCCCCTCCCAAAAAAAAAAAACCCCAAGAAACCAACCAAAAAAAAAGAAACAAAAACAAAAAAACAAAAACAAAAACAACTAAAAAACAAAAAAACAAAAACAAAAAAAAAACACTCTTGATAGCAATATATGTACTGGATTAGTCTTCCCATGAGTTCCCATGTTTCAGGGACATGTTAAAGTGGTGTGGTAGCCTATGATTTTACAAATACTATTTGACCTAAAAAACTACACAACTAACCACATCTGCCTGTGTGGTGCTAGTGCAGAAACTGTTTGAAATGTTAGAATCATATTTCTGGTAAGAGGCATCTGGTGAGGCAAGTTCAGCTTTTTTTTAAATCCTTGCTGGTCAAAAATCAAGGGTAAGAATTTATGGCCATACCAACGTCTAGTTGTAACTGTAATGTTGGACAACACATTTCCCAACAGACTCAAGCCAAAAAGTAGGGTTCTTAAAGTAGGCCCCTCAAGGTCTTCTACCACAGCGCTTCGCTTCACTTGCGAAACTCTACGATATGCGTCAATGATACGATACGTTTCACTGTTCAGATTTTATTTGACCAAAATATCTCCACCCTCAAGAAAAAGGCTAGACTCTGCATGAACAGAACATGATAAGAAGCATACAATGTGCTCCTATCAGGCAGTTTCAGCAGCAGTTCACAGCACAGAGAAATGCTCTCATTATCATCACTCTGCCTCACACTGGACCTCAATCCAGATCAGAGGGAAATCCCCACAGAGATCCACATATATTGTGTGTGAGTGTGTGTGAGAGAGAGAGTGTGAGAGTGAGTGTGTGTGTGTGTGTGTGTGTGTGTGTGTGTGTGTGTGTGTGTGTGTGTGTGTGTGAGTGTGTGAGAGAGAGAGAGAGAGAGAGAGAGAGAGAGAGAGAGAGAGAGAGAGAGAGAGGGAAAAAAGGGGAAAGAGTTTGTGTGTATGTAGGGGGAGTCCTATATCTGGTCAAGCTCACTCTGATGGGACACAGACCCTTATGAATTGGCACTCATTGTCCCTGTGTTGGAGCGGAGAGTTACTGTGCATCAAAACGGAAATAAAACCCATAAATAAATAAAATGGAGGAGGAGAAAGAGGGGCAGGCTGGTCTCAGAACTGTCCTGCACTGCTGGGGTCACACTGCAGCAGACGCACAATAGACGGGTCACTCTTCGCCCCCTTAATGAATTCCTCCAGGGACAATTTACCTAAACAACAAGAGCACAGAAAAATTATCAACAAAATATCATCATATCCTGCTGGTTTAATTTAGAGAAACAAGGCTGAAGTTGGTTTTTATACACATTTTCTGTTGCACTTTAAATGGTGCAGCAATTACATTCTGGCATCCAGTTACCAGTGTATAGCTACTTCACCATCTAAGGTGGGATGGAATATTCAAATAAGAAGCTGGAATACAAGAAATCAACTTCAGCTTTAAAAAGGCAAGTGGAAAAATATATTAAAGTTCAGAAGGCCCATTATGCCCTCTAAAAAACTGCACTGTGCTGTAGGGGTCAGCAGATGGCAGTAACTGACATGTTGCTTTCTAAAAGTCAAATGAAAATGTAAGCTCTATATTCTTCTAAATGTGGACACTGTATATACGTCAAGTAGATCAGTCATATAAACAATTTACATTCGCTCACACTCACACAGACTTACACTGAGAGACATAGAAGCGCACTGATACACTCTTGTCTCTCTCGTGACTGATCATGAGTACTGGAAAGGCAGCACAGTTCATTGGCCATGGAGTCACTCTACTCTCCAGTTATTCCACCATTCCATCTCTACTCTCCCTTCCTGTGCATAAGCTAATATTAAGTGGGTCTGCTAATGTAGTCTCCAACCCACTCGTCCATTTCAAGGGTTTTTGTTTTATATTGCCTTTCTAAAAAGCAATTAGAGTCAGTAAATACAAGGACATGTCACATGCAACATAAAACTGCTGCACAAAGATATGCTGGAAAAATGCAAAAGCGAAAAGCAGAGTCTCAAAATACTGTATTAAAATAAACAGTATCCAAAACAGAACAGCCTACACGCTTAGCAAAAATGGTTTTATATATGTATATACATACATACATACATACATACGTACATACGTACATACACACACACACGCACTGCCTTTACTAAAGAACCCTTTTTAGCGGGGGCTGGCAGGGGGGCGTAGGCATTAATAAGAGGACCAACGTGTAGCTCTTACCATCTCGGTTGGTATCCATCTGCCTAAAGATCTTCTCTGTTCTTTTCTCTGGTGTGGACTCATCCTCCGGCATCTTCATTACTGAAGACACCATTTTATAAATAGCCTGTATAGGATTGAACAAACATCATGATTATCCATTCGTCTGTCTGTCAATGGATTCAGTGAATAAATAAGTAGCTTTTGTCATCATCAGGTCTAATTCTGATCATGGTTTGGTTTACTGTAGAACTGGAATGACAGGTCTTGATTGAATTGGCATGACATGTCTTACATGGAAAAGGTTAAAATGATTTAGCTTTCTGCACTGCATCCAGTTACCCAAAACAAAATAAAACCTCAAACATTGCTGTGTAGATCATGGATGCTTAAGCAGTTTGACCGAAACCACTGTAGCGCTAATAAACTCAGTCATGACAGCACAGTCTTGATAATTAAAGGCATTACACTGGTTTTGATAAACCAGTTTGCTAATGATGTCAGACACAATTTTAGTATGGAACCGAGTGAAGTTTAATTGCTTGTGTTCATGCAAAGAAAGAAGACACTAAATCTTGCTTCATCATGTCTCTGGAATTATTGAATTTGCAAAAAGAAAATGACAGACTTATATTTAAAGCATAGCATAGCATTACCGCCAAGGTGAAACAATCATCCAGAAAACTGTAGCTAACATCCTTGCATGCATATTTATATCACTGAAATAAGCAAGAAATCATTCCCCTCAATGGATAAAACACACCTCTTGGACAGCTTCAAAGAGCTAAAATAATACTGAGGGTGTGAATAAGACTCTTGGCAGTAGGCATATGTGAGGAGCTTGGCTGTCGGGCAGCAGCAGAGTGCAAACGCAGCTTGCGTCACAGTGCTGCGACACGGTTAGGCAAAGTACGGACAGCAGAGCTGCAAAGAACACTAATACAGGAGGACAGGAAGGAATGCTAACACCCTCGCACCTTCATGCAGCAGTAGTGAGAGATGCGATGGTCCTGAGTGATGCATACAGACAAGTTTCCCCTCAGAGAGATCGATTGGAGCCACAATCTTTTTCTATAGCAGAAGTATCTCTTCTGCTTTTTTATTACATTTCTCTCTCTCCTCTCTCTCGTTACCATATGAAGGGGAACACACAAACACAGACTTTTCAGAGGTTCTTCACAGCTATGGACTGACAGGATGAGGGACAACAGTGGCAAGCCGCATGACGATAATGTCTGTTTTAAATGCTCTCTCTTACAGTAAACCTGATGGACACACAGATTTATGCACAATCTTTTCTGTATAGTTTTTTTGGAAAGGATATGCATGGTTTGTTAATGCTCAGGTAAGACCATTTTTGTGTGGCATATTTTTAAAGCTCAGATTACTTAATTAATAATCAAAATAATTGATAAATTATAGTCAACGCTCAGCACATTTCACCAGCTCCAGTGTTTGGAGATGGCCAAGAGGAAATAGTCTGAGAGGTGAACGTTGTAAGGAATGGTGCAATACAGACAATCAGCTGAACACTGCATTCCTGAGCAATACTACGTACAGCTGCACAGCTCATCTTAGTTAATCCACAGGAGTCAACCTCCAGAAACAGTAACCTTTACATTTACAGCTTCTAAACTGTATAAATTCACTGATATAGTATAGTATATAGTACATTTCAAACATTAAAATTATCAGAAACAACAGCAATTTATCCATTTTTTCACTGATATATTCTTCGCATAAACACGCAGAGAGACAGACAGACAGACAGACAGACAGACAGACAGAGAGAGAGAGAGAGAGAAAGAGAGCGAGAGAGAGAGAGAGAGAGAGAGGGAACAGTCAGGTTGTGTTCTGTGATGAGCTGACAGAATGCATAATGTGTTAATCTTTGCTAATGCATTTTCATGCCTCAATCGTTGTACTGTGACTCTAGAACATATGAAAAGGGACACAAAAAACTGCAATCTCTCTAATGACAATCCAGTTATTACAGCATCCTTTTTCAGTTCTGGCAAGTGACACTGACTTCTTGCCTTGTTTTTCCCATGGTGACATTTGTCTGTGTACAGTGTGTGCATGGCAACAAAATTTCACATAAATCAGTGCACAACCATCCGCCACATCACTTAGGCTAGTAAGTCTAAAAAACAAAAATTCTGAAAAAAAGATTTGAATGGAACAGAATTATTGATGTTAACTGACCAACATCTATGAGGAAACTGTATCCTACCTCCGTATACGCTACCTCCAAAACTGTGGAAAAAAATGTGAAAAATATTCAGCCCTTACTAGAGGAACCACTTACTGCTGCTCATAGATATTCATGTCCTAATATCAAATGCTGCCTTACACTGAACAGAAAAAGAAAGGGCTTATGTAATTCATCTTTATCTGATTACAATTCTCTTCACAACTCATACACACAGAGTCTCACACAGGCCCTGTTTGATTTGAGTAAAGTCTCAAAATCTGAGCAGCCACTCGCTGCTAAAATTCTCCAGCATTTAATGAAGAACCAGGAGAAGCACAATCAGGCCAGACTCCACTAACAGACAGAAATAGACCTGCGAGAGACTGCAGTCTGAAGAAAAGCCTTTTTGTTTGAGAGGGACATAAGACTGATCTTTCTTCAGTTGCGGAATGTCCCAGCAGTCTGGCACCTCTGCTGTTGCCAGTGCTTAATCTGCCAGTGTTAAAATTCCACAACACTTGCAGGGATTTTTCTTGCTCAAAAAAAATCTGAAGACTTTTTTCACTGATTTTACATTCGTCAAGGCTTCTGTACAGAGCTAGTAATTGCCTTTTACTTTGTCAGTAGCATATTCATTACAGAACCGTACCACCAATTCTACCCAAAGTGGACTATTTCATAACAGTATAATTTGCCGCTTATCAATAATTTGTCTGTACTTTATATGCACATATGGATATTTGAAAAATAATTTTGCAAACCTGGCTTTAAATTTATACCTGTACGATTTCCAGCATCTCTGCTTTGCTGATGTATCCATTCCCATCCAAGTCATACATGCTAAATGCCCATTTCAGTTTCTGCTCCAGCTTTCCTCGGGATGTGACGCTGAGCGCAATTATAAACTCCCGAAAGTCTATTGTGCCATCACCATTAGCATCAAAGGTGCGGAATACATGTTCAGCAAACTTGGAGGCGTCTCCGTAGGGGAAGAAGTTGCCATAGATCTTCTTGAACTCCTCCATGGAAAGGTGGCCGCTGGGGCAGTCCCGCAGGAAGCCCTTGTACCACTCCTGGATTTCATGCTCGGTGAAGTCCGTGCTCTCCAGCAGATCCTGCATCACCTCCGGCCGCAGCTTGCTGTTCTGCTTCCCCATGCTCAAGTTTCACGTTACAGCTGTGGAAAGACCAGAGAGAAACAGAGACTTAGGTCGGGTATTCTATGAGAACAGTCTTCATTTACATCACTCTCAATACTACAATTTACAACAAATGCCACAAAATATTTATAAGATTTACCCTCACAATACTGCTCCTGTATTTCAAATTCTAGGAAATCTTTAGAGCAATAAGACTTCAAATGAACATGAAAGATCATGGTTAAAAATAAAAAAAGTAAAGATTTCCAGAAATGGTTATTCATGTTTGTTTTCTAACCTATTCATCACCCGTTGCCTTTGGTTTTTGCATTTCCTCAGAATGCAGCTCTTGTCAATATGCATGGAACTGTACAAAAGTCAGAGAACATACTTCTGTTTATTCAGTTTCAAATCAACTCAGCCTTTAAGTATACGTAATTAATTCTTCAGTACCAGAAAAAAAAAAAAAAATTGACAGAAGCCTCCAACACTAAATATTGAGGGTCTGAAAGGACGCGTAGGTGTCAAAAAGCCATTGCTGAGAAAAGAAAATGTGCACTAGAACGCAAACAATGGACACCGAAGGAGAGGAGTAAGGTTTTATGGACCAAGGAGTCTAAATCTGAGATCTCTGGAAGAAACCGAAAGCAGTGTGTATGCCATCAATGAGGGATTTTTAAAACCATGTCTACCACCATCAGTTAGGCATGGCAGAGGATCAGTACAAGTTTTGGAAAGTATAACATCTGGAGGTTTTTGTTTGTTTTTTTTTTTTTAATTGAAGATATCATGAACGCTGACAATTACTTAATACATCATGCAATATACTCTAGAAAATGTTTGACTGGGAAGATTCCTTAGCAAGATAACAACTCAAGCTCACTTGAGAAGCTTCACAAGAACAAGACACACTTATCAAACAAAAAAACTGCTGGTGTTCTCACAACAATGGACAGGCTACCACAGAGTCAAGACATGACTGGGAATACTTGGATCATGAGACATAATAAATACAACCAACTTCTAGGACTAATCTTTTGATGGAGGTTCATTTCTATGCTCCAAAATTATTTTTTTGAAGTCGAAAAAGGAATAATTTGCACTTATGTATTCTCCTTGATACAGTCTTCACCACAGCCCAGCAATGTTCCAGCAACACTGCCAAATAAAATCCTACTATAAAGGAACTTCTGCAGGAAGAGCACACTCACATTACAGAACACAGATGTCTTATGCAGATTTTATTGCTCAATAAAGCACCTTCAACAAAACAGCAGACACATTATTGCTTGCCTCTTTGCACAGAGCCTCTGGGGGGGCAACATCTACAAGAGTGAGGCCAGAGACTTTACAAAGGAAGAGAACGATCACTGGTTGAAATATGAATGGGAAAGCTCGTAACACTCAACATGACGTCTGTTCATGAAGAAAGTCCCGCCCTTCAGTAAAAAGAGTCAATCAGCTTGCTGGTAACGCAAGCAGGGAAAGACCCCCCTTGTTGTGGAGATCTGCGCTGTAAGTGCAATAGCCAGAACAACTCAAAAAACTATTTACAGTGTTTTCAGGTTGTATATGTAGTACTGAGCCAAATGCTACAAACCATTTATAAGGTTTTTGTCAGATTTTATCGAATTTGTTTTTGAAATAATTTGGCCTTGAGTTTCAAATTTTTAGGTCTCTCCCAATTTAAAGAGATAGGGGCCTGGTCCTGTAAGGCTGGAAATAACTGCCTGGCAGCTTTGCAAATAATGGCAGACTTTGGTGAAGCATAGACTCTTCGGTTTGTCTTGGGCTGGATGTTCTGTAGTGGATCAGCTGCTACGTCACATCTGCATCTACAATGAGAAACGTGACTATCCCGTCTCAGGTGGGTCATGATTGTCATTAATGAGATGCATATTTTACTGAAGACCATTGTCTGTATGCTTTTTCTTTCTTTTCTTCAACGGAAATTAAATTTCAATGTAAAAAAAGAAATAATAAAAAATAACTAGAAAAGTGCATTTCCTAAAGGAAACGCGGAATGGTTGCGCAGCGCTTACTGTGGAAGTCTGTACGAGGAACGAGGGATAAAAAAATGACAAATAGAGGAGTGCGGGTCAGTATGGCTGTGGATTAGAGCTTGGGGACCTGTCCTGAGTGAGTACATGCATTTCGGTGGCTGTCGGGCAAAGAAGTAAGAGAGTTTGGGTGGTGGCGAAAATGAATGAGACTCAGTGGGAGGAACGAGGGATAATAAAACGACAGAAAGAGGAGAGCAGGTCAGAATGACTTTGGATTGGAGCTTGGGGACCTGCCCTGAGTGAGTACATGTAGTTTGTTTGCCGTCAGGTAAAGAAGAAATAGAGTTTGAGTGGTGGCGACAATGAATGGGACTCTAAGGGCGGAACGAGGGATGAAAAAACGACAAATAGGGTAGTCCAGGTCAGTATGGCTGTGGATAAGAGCTTGGAGCGGTGCCCTGAGTGAGACTCTAAGGGCTGAATGAGGGATGAAAAAACGACAAATAGGGTAGTCCAGGTCAGTATGGCTGTGGATAAGAGCTTGGAGCGGTGCCCTGAGTGAGACTCTAAGGGCTGAACGAGGGATGAAAAAACGACAAATAGGGTAGTCCAGGTCAGTATGGCTGTGGATAAGAGCTTGGAGCGGTGCCCTGAGTGAGACTCTAAGGGCTGAACGAGGGATGAAAAAATGACAAATAGAGGAGTGCGGGTCAGGACGGCTGTGGATTAGAGCTTGGGGACCTGCCCTGAATGAATAAATGCATTTTGCTGACTGTCGGGCAAGGAAGTAATAGAGTTTGAGTGGTGGCGAAAATGAATGGGACTAAATAAGAGGAATGTGGGATGAAAAAATGACCCAAAGAGGAGTGTGGGTCAGTATGGCGGTGGATTAGTTCTTGTGCTAGCTAACTGCAATTCCACCTTAAAAGCAGTTCCACGTTAAAAAAATCATTATGTGTGCTGACACTGCTGAGCATTAGGCTGTGAGCATGTGAGACACTGGGCTCCGTGCGTGAGTTTGTATGGGTGTGTGAGTTAAGGGCCCATTGTGACATCATGTCTGGCATGCTGCCAACAGTCCGCTCATTGTAAGTCTATGGGAGAGACGAAGGATGGAATAAAACGACTAATGGATGAGTGCGGGTCAGAACGACAGTGAATTCATGCTTGTGGGCCTGCCCTGCGATAGTGTATGAAAAATGGGGTCGTTCGGGCAAGCAGAAGTACCTTAGATTGGCATTCAAATGTTCACCCCATTCATTCTCTATGGGAAAGAATTCCGCAAAATTCCCTTGCTGCATGGAATCCGTGCATCTGATCAAAAAGCTGTATATAAGCACGCATCACACAATCAGACCGGACTATCTGGAGTTGGAACGGTGTTGATATCTCGAAAACCGCGGGACGAGTTACGCGGCAAAGAAAGCAGCATAATAAAAATAATAACTGGAAAAGTGCATTTCCTAAAGGAAACGCGGTATGGTTGTGCCGCGGTTACTATGGAATTCTATAGGAGGAATGAGGGATGAAAAGAAGTACTCATAGAGGAGTCTGGGTCAGTATGGCTGTGGATTAGAGCTTGGAGACCTGATCTGAAAGATTACATGTACTTTGGTGGCTGTTGAGAAAGAGACTGATTAGGGCTTTGTTGCGAAAGAAAATAAATGGGACTCCAGGGGAGGAACGAGGGATGAAAAAATGACAAATAGATGAGTGCAGGTCAGTGCAGCTGTGGATTAGAGCTTGGGGACCTGTCCTGAATGAGTACATGCATTTTTGTAACTGTCCGGCAAAGAAGTAATAGAGTTTGGGTGGTGGCGAAAATTAATGGGACTCTATGGGAGGAACAAGGGATGAAAAAACGACAAATAGAGGAGCGTGGGTAAGTATGGCTATGGATTAAAGCTGGGAGATGTGCCCTGAGTGAGTACATGCATTTCAGTGGCTATCGGGCAAAGAAGTAATAAGAGTTTGAGTGGTGGCAAAAATAAATGAATTGCTAAAGCAAGGCGCAACCATAATAAAAGACGAGAATAATATAAATCGGATAACAATATAGTATATAATAAAAATAAATTAAACTACAAGCTTCTGTGACTTCTACAGTTTATAGATGGTGTGCAGTGTATACCTACGCACAGAGTCACGTCTTGGGTGATTGAAATAAATTATTACTTCTTCCAGATATACAGAAGAATACACACAGTACTAGTGTTATTACATACTATACTACATCACATTAACTACTGCTTGTCTGCATCCACAAGATACACAGACGCATACATCCCCAGACTCCCCTATAGCTGCAGTCATAGGGGCATTTTTTACTTTCCAGTGTTTCTACTGCTCAGCATGAATGTTACAGGTTATACTCCTACATCCTTAGTCTTGCTGAAGAAAAAAATAACTGGTGCTAAGTGCTGCTGCCTACCTGCAAGGAAATGTGTGTCCACTCATTTCTGTGGCATGTAAGTATGATGCTCTAATGCAGTAAGAAACACAGTCTGCACTATACAATAAAGTGCATTTATAAGAAACAAGCATGAGAACACCAAAAACTGTGCAACAGTGGCCCTTATTGTAAAACCAGAACACAGCCCTTCAAATTTAAGGACCCCTTAAAATTTGAAAATGAATATGCATGCTGCTTCTAATTCCTCCACAAAACAGTTAAAAAATAGGGAAAAACTAGAAAAGCCTTCACACTGTATGTGTTTTTCATGGAGCATGGTACTTTTTTGGTAATTTTCCATGAGAGAGATGCGTCAGTAGCCTACGTCATGAGTATTGCTGACTAATCAGATCAATAGTTAGGCGGACCTTTACTGACAGCTGTAATGGGGGAGGGATTAGTAGTTGCAGTACTTCATGGGCCGAAATCACAACAAACTAAAAACAGCTTTTTTGAAGTCTTGCTAGCAGCACCATGTTTGCTAGTTAACAGTCATAGTTAAAATTTCAGCTTGTCCATGTCAAAACCATAGCTTACAAGCACATCTAACAGTAACAACACAGTTGTTGCTTAGCAACAAGGA